GGCCCCGTTACGAGCCTTATCTAGTTTATTGTATGGTTATGGAACTCGCAACTTAGATTATGAAAATTTAGTTTAGTAATTAGTTTACTACCTACTTATTAGTTTTATATACGTGTTAAAACTAACGTACTTTTCAAGGATAACCAGACTTTCAGGAAACTTCACTTAACGCTACAAGTATGGTAGATACTTGTACACTTCATTCCGAATCGATAACCAACCATCAACTTTCAAGGAAAATAAGGGTTTTTCCTGGGATAACTTAACTTTTCATAAACAGGTTGTTTAACAAATGGATAACTAAATTTATTTCATAAGAAAATATGGGACTTTCTTGGATAACAACTTTTCGTAAAACCAAAGGAAAACTTATTCTTTAACCAGAAACAAGCCGCTTATGAACTCACCAGCTTTATGTTGATATTTTTAAAACTGCTTGTATTCTCAGGTTCTCGTTAGACAAGTATCCAACAATCTTTTGGAGAAGACGGAACGCATAGAAGTCTCGTCTCTATTTTGTTTTACTATTGTATGTGTAAAACATGTATTAACTTGCTTTCAAACAAATGTAAATATTCCTATGTAATGTAATGTTTTGTCTTTACTATGCTTGCTATGTACATTGGTTGTGATACTTTACATGATGTCCTCCGCCCCGGAACGTTTCCGCCTTCGGTTTCGGGGTGTGACAGATTCACCTTCGGATCTCCTAAAGAACAGTTAGTGTTCATCCTTTCATCGATCAATCACCATCATTTCTGAGTTTATGGCTGAAAAAACTTGAGCCTTCAAGAGGCTGTGAATCGTGTACAGCCGTAAACACCGAAGCCAGCCGTGAACTCCATGCAACTTCTTGATTTCGCTTCTAACACTTCTTTGGTAAGAAAATCTTGCATCCCAAGTTGTTTCCTTATTATACTTGCTTATATATTCACTAATTGTACACATACATACTACATGAATTGTGTTTAGGACTTGATTTTGTTAGGACTTCACTAGTGGAAACAATCATCCTATATCGAAACCTCAATCGAATCACTCCCAAAAAGTGAGTTCATACCCCTAAAATTTACCTTTTAAATGTTGTTAGGGGGAGAATACAAGTAGAACACAATTTATTTGTGTTAATCATTTTCATCTGAAAACAAACAATCAAAAGGATTTCTTATGCTCAAATGTTGTTAAAATCACTTTAAAACTCTTTTAAAACTCTTTTTAGATTTTTTTTATATCAAAATCATATTTGTGTACATTTTTATGTATAAGTATGCTTTAACGGACTTAGGACTATTGCTAAATATCGTAACTCCTGTTCCTTGTTTGGTTGTGGGCTTAGGGCTGGATCACTAGTCCGATTGTCGGTTAAATCATAGTTATACTTGCTAAACATATGCCTGAATATTAAACCTCATTTTCAAGTAATATAATTAACTCAGTGGCATATGTTGGGCAATTGAATCGTTTCTACAAACATACTAGTAAACTATAATAGGTATAGTTTAGAGAATCACTACATACTATTGCTAGAACAGAGAAACAATACATGAGTCAATACATACATACTATTACTATTCATTACAAAGTACACTATTCATTTATAAGAACAAGAAGGAACTTACATACTATAACAAGAACAAGATAACTAAAATGTGAGATACTATTTCATGGCATAGCTATATTCTTACTAAGTTACGTTTTGTAACCAGAGTCTCCTGGATGGAGAGTGTGAGTTGTGTATTGATCTATACAGGATTGACCATCCCGCACCTTGCTGCTAGCTGTAGTGGGACTTGCAAGTCTATCGGTGATAAGTGTCATACCATTGTCGACGCCTGAAGAATGTCGTGTTTATACTAGTCTATCAAGCATGGTTATAACCTAATCACATTTTAACCTTAAGTAACCAGTTAGTTTTCAAGGTGGTTAATGCATTAGTAGTGTATTTTATACCATACTACTATAAATCTTCATTTTTCCATTACATTCATACAATGATATTCTCGCATGAGAAATACATACTATTTTTGAGTAAAGATAGTTTTACAAATATGGAAACCATACATTTATACTATTTCAAGTACAAACTTACATTTTACACTATTTTCAAGAAAACAAATCATACAAACAGTTGAGTCTTGGTAGAAGACTACTTTTCATTTAATGCAGAAAATATAGGATTTTCTAGGAAAGATACAAACTGTCACACCCCCAAACCAAGGATGGCGGAAACGTCTGGGGGTGGAGGATTTCATGTAGAGTATCACAACAATGAGTATAATAGTGCTCAAAGTAAATACAACCAACACCAATATAATTGAAAACGTTACATCAAAGCACATGTTTACATGATTCACATCAATTACATTATAATACAAAATGAACTGTTTGACGATTTATCGTCCCATCCTCAAAACGTTGTTGATTTCCTGTTTTCACTGAATTCCTGAGAATACAAGTAGTTTTGAAAAGTGTCAACACAAAGGTTGGTGAGTTCATAAGAGATTTCGTTGGAAAAGTAAATCGTTTTCCTTGTAAAAGCGTTAGAATATGTAACCAGAAAATCCGATATTTTCTTTAAAATCTGCGTAATGTAGTCTTATGACTGAAGACCAAAATGTATAAGTAACCTTTCTTATTAATAGAAAATGTTATGTACATAAATGGACATGGACGCGTTTGAATTAAATGAAATTTTTGTATGTTCTCATGTTCGTTAATACTTTATATATATGTAGTCCTAAATTAGAGGACCGAGAAATAACAAGTATTGACCATACTTAAAAGTATAAATGTGGTTTCAAATGATGTGTAGTCGTAACTACCAAAACCAAAAGTGTACAGTAATATCTGTACTCATAGAGATAAAAAGTGATTTTAAATCGACATAAAACTCACTTAGGTTTTTAAAAATAAAATCCCGTAAACTTATGGATTGTTATATCCCTATGTGAGTCGCTATAATCATACTATGACTATGTGAACCTGCCACGACGTTCTCAGGTGTCGCGAAAAATAAAATGACATTTGTCACCCGTAGACCTGCAGGTCCAACTGTAGCTAGCAGCAAGGTGTGGGGTGTCAAATCCAATATAGATCTATATACAAGTATCACGTTCTCCCTCAAGGAGATTCTGATTATAACTACCAGGAATTATATCCCGCACTCGGACGTACGGGGAGAGAGAGAGAGAGAGAGTCTCACAATATAGGTTAACAAGTTTACGTGAAATGTGTGTGAATATAAATATTTCTTGTATGAATGTACCCTTCTTGTACGAGTGTGTTGAGTGATGTATCATAAACTATACCTATTATAGTTTATCTAAAATGTATGTAATATGTATGAACTCTTCTATGGAAATGTATTAGTGTTATGAATTTATCAAACTATCCTTTTTATAGTTTAATATACGTGTTCTAAAATGAATGAATAATATTTATTATGAATGACTTAGTTTCATTTCATGATGAAAAACTAACAAAGAAACACATTCAATAATTAGAACTTATGATTATAACACTTTGCTCAACATATTACAAAGTGTTATGATATTTACATGCTGTTGGCTAAATTTAGCCATTCTACCCTGTTTTGGAAAAATCATAGAAAAATCATACGATGTCAAAAACTAGATCCGTAAATTCTGAGAGTTCAAAAAATGTGTTTAGTTT